TTTTTTTTTTTTTTAATCAGGGAACAAGTTAAATTGAAAGAATGAGTTAATGCAACAAAGTCGAGCATAAAGATGCGTTCTTTGTGCAAACGAAAAAAACACCGACTCGTCCTCTCGGTTTCTATTCGTGGCGTCTCCGTGAGCCATGATCTCTCGTTCCTCGGCCCATCGATTCATCCCCTATAGATCATCGTCCACGGTGAGATTCACGCGCATGCAATCATCTCGACCAGGCAGTCGCGGCCTATCGAAGAGGATCGGGAATCGGTGCCTGACAGAGATTATTCCGCGGACGATGGTTAAAGCTAGGCAGCCCTCTGATCGGCACTTAATCTCGCGATTAAATTAAACCACAGAGCGCAGAGTTAGTTAAGCATTTAATCAAACTGGTAATTGGAGGTTGTACCGGCCTAATGGAACCGCTCTGTAGCGACCTTTGCTGACTGATGAATGTACCAGAGCTTGCTCAGTCGACTCGCCGCGAACCCAATAATCGGACACACGATCCGTCCGCTCGTTATCGAATGCAACTCGCGAAAATCATGTGCATTTTGCTTCTGAGAGTCTTTGAAAGAAAAAAGAACAGGAAAAAGACAGTCTCAAAAGAATTCTTATTGATTGATTCGATAGTGATTTGTAATTCCTGTTATCGAGATAAAAATTAGGGACGAGAGAAAATTGAAATCTTGGAACCTCGAAACTTCGTGTTATTTATATCGACTCTTGGAACCTCGTGTAAATGATACCAATTGTTTTATAAGTAATATTATAATTAATCCCTTGCTATATTTTAATTTTTTCCCTTTTTTTAGTTCTGTTTATATATTTACATGGGCTTCGTTTCTTCGATTGTATCTTAATTGTTATTCCAAGATATTGCGACGAGATATGAGTTTATTTTTATTTGATGATATCATCCGTTGGTTCTGGAAGTTCTTTAATTTTTGTTACAAACGTATCGCGACACTGTGGGTCGTTTATCGCGATATTATACATACAACATAGTTGATGTCGATTCTTTACCAAGCTCGGGAGTCCATTCTCTACTAAAACGTCGCCCACTTGTTACCAATTTTGAAAGGAGTGGAATTTGATTACTTTGAAGAGCCGTTTCAAATAGGTGATGTCATAAACTGAAATACTTTGTGCCGTGTCTCTTGAATACTTGTGTCTATCCAATTTATCAACAAACTCGCAAAATGTCCAATTCTAAATTCATTTAATATAATTGAAAATTATTAAATGAATTTAGAATTAACTTAATAATACGGAATTTGTCGACTAACGACAATTAGGCCAATTTTGTTAAGTGATAATTTACAGTTCACAATGATTATAATATGAAATTATTATAATTCAATTTACTTATAATCTAAATCCCTTAAGCTCGAGATCAAAAATACAAGTGAATGAAGCTCAAACGAATGAAATG